CCCCAAAACCCCAAAACCCCAGAAGGATAAATTAAGTCAAAGAGGAAAATTTTGTTATTAATTTACTGAAACCAACTTATAATAAATCAATATTAATATCATATTACTATTATTATTGCTTTAAAATTCTAATGATATAAATATTCTCTTATTCAATTATCAGGTGAACTCATAATTTATTCAATAATGCTATGATTTTAATCTATTGGTTCTTGAATTGAAAAATTTTCTATTAAAGTTTCATTAGAAATTTTAACATTCGCTTATTTATTAGATAGAGATTGCTAGCATCTTCTTCTAAAATATTTGATATAGCACCAATATTCATTAATTTAGTCTTAAATATCATAGAAATCAAAACTCATTTTAGTATCTTAATTTAATTCATTTTCAATTATCATATTCTCTATTTACATGTCTGCTTTATTTGAAGATTCTTAAAGAATCTTATCAATTTATTGATCATTCTAGGGGTTTATATCTACTTATGGATTTTCCAATGCTTATTCATTTTTGCACTAAATGTGGCCGAAATTTCCGCAAATTATGCATCAAACAATCCTTTAATCCTTAATAAAATCTCTCATTAGCATGCAATGATCATCCAAATGACCATTTAATTAGCACTTTTTACATTGTAAAATATCAAAGACTTTACAATCTACTTCACTATGACCAATATTAGCACACCTAGAGCATCTATGCTGCTGGCATTCCTCAAAGTCGTGATTAAAATTTTAGCATCGAAGACAAATAGGTCTAAAATTAAGTTGAAAGCAATTGCCCCTAACATGACCGTATTCATTACAATAGGTGCAGACTAGGTCTAGATCATATTCTTAAAAGTATCTAGATCTGTACCGAGATTTCATCAACTTCTTTCTATCATCGCATTCTTCCTCTTGCATTTATTGACTTGCTTGGAATTCCTAATATTTTTGCTATGACTTTGATTTAACTATCCTCTAAGACCAGTCCAGGGAGTATTTGGTATAGTCCGAACCTCTAAGAAATTAGCAGTTACTTATCATTAAATCAGGTCTTATTGCATTATTTGCTCCGAGATAAAAGCAGTCCTTGCCATATTACTAGCCTAACTCAAATAGTTTTAGTAGATTTCTGCATTTTAAAGTATTCTGTGTAAAATGCTATTATGGAATTTGCTATTCTTCGCACGATTAAGTTGATATGCTTGAATTTTGAGATTAAGAGTTCAACTAATTCATCTATTTTTGCTAGCTTTCGAGTTGAAGGGAATTCTATTGAGGAATTTCATGGTATTTCACTTCTATTTAGTCAAGCATGGTAGATAGAGGAATGATCAAATATTGATGAATTTGATAAATTAAAATATACATTAATTATATTACTTACCTAATTTCAAATATCTATTCATTTAGGGGTTTTGGGGTTTTGGGGTTTTGGGG